ACCCGAGTTGTAACTACCACCACCAGTGTTGTAGCCTCCTGCACTGTTGCTTCCACCACCAGTGTTGTAACTACCACCACCGGTGTTGTAGCTGCCACCACCCGTGTTGTAGCCCCCTACGTTGTTGCTTCCACCTCCGATGCTGAAGCTGCCACCACCGGTAGCGTAGCCACCGGTAGCGTAGCCACCAGTTCCGCCGTTGTAACGCCCGCTACTAGCGTTGCCTGTATTATGGCCCCCGCCGCCAGTGTTGTAGACTCCACCAGTGTTTAGACGTCCAATAGTTGTGTTGCCTTGCTGGGTTCCAGGACGTTGGTTCTTCGCTGTTGGGTCACTGTTTGTCTTGAGTGGATTGCTGCTGGCTTTGGGTGGGTCACTTACGAAGCGGCCTTGAGCTTCATCCCAAAGAAGACCTCCGCTTTTGTTGTCGATGCTTGCGGCGGCGTTATTGAGCATGACCGCGACCTCCGATTTCATCAATTGGCTTATGGCCAGCGTCATAGCGTCACCGTATCCGCTGTTGCACCAGGAATGGCCGGCGACATTGGTAAACTGAATGTGACCCAGCGTCCGCGCAAACCGGGTACGGGCAGGCATCATCTTGTCACGTGTTTCCCACGTATACAACCAGTGCATCCGACTGTCCCCAGGTTCACGTCCGTTCAACGTACCCCGGCCAACTGCCATAGGAAGCACGCTCTGGCTCTCGCCCCCAAAGAAGGGCAATACATTCGATATAATGTTGCGCCAAGCCATTTAGCGATGCAAACAACGTAATAATCGTAATCAACGTACCAACGTACCAAGGTATCCACCGTAAATATCAGCGTACCAAGGTATCAACCGTAAATATCAACGTACTAATATCACTCCACTAACGCCAATGCCGTTAATACTAGCGCCGTTAATATTAGCGCGGCGCTTGCTACCTACCCGCTATCAATGGACGAGTAGTCTTTCGCCCGAGTCCGGAGCTTCTCGTGTATCTTGAAAAGCGCCGCGACAAGTTGAGTCTGTCCCTAATAAAGCCCTAGATCTTGGTCCCGGCCCTCTAGACTAGTGGGGCTCCTGATGGTGATTGCAAAAGTTTTTTGATCGTGAGACCTTTGGGTCTGGATTTGGCGGTTTATGGACTTGACGATTTTATTGGGCCCGACGTGCGCAAGCTAGCACACGTGTGTGTGCTATCCCTTGCTGATGTCTCTGAACTCATTTGTGCTATTGGTCTTGATATTCTACGGGTACTACACCGCCTTGGCGGTGCGTCTTGGTAGCAGTGACGAGGAGGCGAGCGAAGAAGACAAACTTTATATCAGAATGCTACCGAGCAAGCACATTCGTGTTGGCAGAGTTGTAATGGAGTCCATGTTAAGCTCGATCCGGGAAGCGGTGGACAAAGCAGTTGACGACTTCTGGGAGTATCATAAGCTTCTTCCGGAGCCGCGAATGGTCAATTTTCCTGCAAACAGTCTAATTTCCAAACCAAATCTTCTTGGGAATGATCAGCTGGCTCCGGAAAGAGCTGGGCTTCCTAAGCTAACCTCGCCAGTGAACCAGTACGCATCATTCCTGCTAGAGAAAAGATTTTCTGAAGACCCTGATAGTCAAAGCACTGCCAATCAGACCTATGATGATTTTCCGAACCCTCTACTATCAATAAAGTCAACAGACCTTATCACCGATGGTCCAGACATCTAATCGAAAATTTTTCACATGTCAGGGGGAGTATCATCAGCCAAGGAATTGTTTGCCGAACTGTCTTCTTATCCAGACGTCGAAAACGTACTAGTTATTGACCGACTCGGACAAGTTGTTCTTCACACAACTGCGGATGAGACCACCACAAAGTCTTTAGCGAAGTTGTCCGTTAAATTGGTCAGAACAAACTCTGAACTACTTCAACCACACGAAACAGTATACCCCCCCCCCCCAACGGGAATCCCTCCCCCTCCTCTTCACGGATATCCCCCCCCCTTCTCTTCACGGATATCACCACCCCCCCCCCCCTTCCCCCCCAAAAGCTTCCCTACCATCTTGACTGTTTTTAGAAACCTATCTGTCAGTTGAAAATAGCTTGTGGTTCACGCAGCTACACCGTCACGGCTGACAGTGACTTCATTCTCCTTTGCGTAACTTCATCTGATTGACACCGCAGCCTCAAATGTGTGTGACGTTGTGGAGCATTGTGCTGGGGAAACATTCAGTTGCGGAAGCACGAAGCGAGTGGGTCGCGCAATGGAGTACCCAGCAAGCTCAGCCCATAAGGGTACCTTGGCTGGTTTAGCTTATAAGGGTATTACGGACGGGTCAAGCGTCAAGTGCCGCGGTTGGTAGATTAAGCGTACCCCGGCTGGTACAGCGTACCACTATTTACAGTCTAGCTGATTAGCATAGATGCGGTATTTGACGGGGAACGCGTAAAGACTTCCGGCCATCTCGGGCGTACTGATCATGCGGTATGCGTAGACGTTTGGACGCGGTGCGTATGGAGGCCAATGGTAGCCTAAAGAACATGACATTCGGTGTTGCACACACGTGTGTGCGCTCCCAGATATTCAAGTTGCGCGCTCGCTTCAAGTTGCGAGAGATATCTCGGATACATATCTATCTCTCTCAAGGGCGGTATGTATCGTTCCTACTTCCTGGGGGTTTTTCGATGAGCAACGGTTTGGTCGCTTTGATCAGTCGGGTCGGCAATTCCCTCGTGGCTCTTGGCCGAACCACGCACGAAAATGTTTCATGCAGGTGCTGAGTTGTTGAAATAAAGCCGGCGGAAGGCATGCAGGTGCAGTCGTCGGCTCGGCGAGCATTCTACATAGCCTACATGCATCCTAGTCTCGGGCAATGGTGTGCACCACGGTGGATCGCACCTTCTCTTTATGGCTCCACGAAGCTGGTCTGGTCTGAACGTTCATTATGAGTCACTACCGAGCCGTGAAGTCGACCAGGTACTCAATCATGAAGCCGACGTGGTGAGTGCAGGTTCCCGTTCCCTACAACAAGGCTCCGTACGACAAGGTTCCGTACGACAAGGCTCCGTAGTGGGTCACACTTCCCCAGGCCACGCTTCCCAAGACCACGTTACCCGAGGTCGCGGGGCCGTTTTCCAAGGCGGTACAGCTGCATGCGGCGGGCGGTTCCAGTTTGTTGGTCGGCACACTAAAGATGATAGCGAGGAGTATCTCTCTGCCTGGAGCGGGTCGTCGGTCGAGAGTGACTCCGATCACGCCCGGTCCATCTCGGACATCTCTGCATTCACACGTCCCCCAACTGCCAAACAAGAACACAGCCTGTCCATCGACTCCGACCTCGATCTCAGCTCCAGTCTCGGAGACGACCAATCGGCAGTATGGCTAGACAGACCGGAGATAGCCCTTGAAAAGGGCGGCTCCCCTTCAACAGAGTCCGAACCGCCGGTCGAATTGCGGACCAGATTGTGGGCTGAGTCGCCGACCGGGTCGGCGACAAAGATCGGCCATCCTGTCAGTGGGCGGGTCATCGATGCAACCTCGGTCGGGGAAGCAGCCTCGGTCGGGGAAGCAGCCTCGGTCAGGGAAGCAGCCTCGGTCGGGGAAGCGGCCTCGGTCGGGGAAGCGGCCTCGGTCGGGGAAGCGGCCTCAGCCGTCGATGCAGTCCCGATTGAGGAGACAGTCCCGATTGAGGAGACAGTCCCGATTAGGGAGACAGTCCCGAGTAGGGACACGGCCTCGGTAGGTCCGGTAGGGTCTACGAGCGCACTGGAGTCTCTCGAGTTGATTCCCGGTTCGCCATTGGGTCTGGATGCCGCTGGCACCGACCAGTCGCCGGAGTTGGAGTTGGACACGGGCGACCAGACAGCATGGTCATGTTTCAGCACTTGTAAAGAGTTCCAGGGGTTGTGGTGGTGGCAGAGTTTGCGACAGAATGAGGAAGGCAGTACCTCGCGTTTTCAGGAGGACGAAACACTTTTGTCCTCTTCAAGCGAGCGTTCATTTCGCGGAGAGTCTGTCCGCAGTTCCGACTATCGTCAAGATGCAGTGGACTTGCCTGGTGGACCAACTGAGGTCCGAGGCCACCCGTCTGAAACCCAGCTTACCCCGAGGCAGGTTACCGCGACCCATGGGGCTACCGGCATGAACAAGGTCACTGTGCACAAGGCCAGAGCTTGTTCTACAAGGACTCGGACCAGGACGCGTGTTGGCAGTATCGCGGAGGTGTATTTGACCAGACTCAATACTACGAGTCCTTTGAACCGGCTCGGCTCCGATCTGGACCAGCGGGGTGTCGGCCAGCGGGGTGTCGGCCAGTTGGGACCAAATGTGGCTACGGTCTTGACCACGCCGCTACTTGTCGCACATCCCTTCGATGCGTCCTTCCGGGAAGCCGGCGCCCTTGCCCTGGTCCCCGCCGCTCGTTATCGTCTGCACGAGTCGTATGAACAAGTCTGTCCTCTCGGCTGCCTCACCGTCCCTTTTTACCTAAGTCTTTTTGGCTGCGGCAACTGCACCGACGTGGACTTAGGCGCATCCGAGTTTGAGGTCCTCATCGACCCCACCGAACGCCGAAAACCTTGACGGCAAAAATCCATCACCCCTAAGGCTACCAACGTTGAACACCAAGGTTGATTGGCCACCAAGGTTGGATTAGCAAAACCAAGACCCAGCTAGGATCAGCAAGGTCGGTTAAGTGAAGACGTTCATGTCGAGGACGGCACTGTTGTGCGCGGTGGTGTTGTGTTCAGGGGTGCGCGCGGCAGGCGCAGTGGACCCGCTATACTCGACGTGTCAGTATGTGTCAAGCAACTACTGTCTGCGGGAAGGTTTGCCTTCGGAGGTAGACGGTTCGCTTGCCGGTGGCGTCGACCTTGCTGGTGGTGTTGGTGACACGAACTTAGCCTGGGGTCCTCGTGTGTTCGTGAGTGAGCCGCCGAATACTCCCCACGCGGTCGTGGGTCGTTGGGACTTCGACGGACTGTTTCCAGTCGATCGTAGCGGCGCGATGAGGAATCTGCATCCGGTATACAGTGCCGGTCCGGACGTGTTCGGGCTGCCTGGTGGTGCATCCCTCGCACTCGGGGCCAGCAGCAGCGTGACCGCGGGATTGGACGGCGTGGCATTGGATGCTTGGTCGCTCGGTTTCTGGTTTTTCGCCGAGGAAGACTTAAGTGGCGATCCCAAGACTTTATTAAGCACCGACGACTTTTATGTCGGCCTCGTCACCGCCAACGCCACGGGTGATACCACCACCACCAGTGGTGGCGCCGCGGCTGGTCGGTACCAGGTGTTCGTCTCATTTTCGTTGCCGACCAGCAGTTGTCGATTGGGTGAGGTGTTTCGGGCTGAAGCGATGTTGTTGCCGCGACGTTGGCATCATGTGGCTCTAGAAGCAAGTTCGAGTGGGACTCGGTTCTTTGTCAACAACGCGTTGTTAGGTGAAACGACACAGATGAAGAGCTTGTCCGGGACCTTGACAGTCGGTCAAACGGGCAGCTGCAGTGGTGCCAGCGGCTTCCTTGATCATCTCCTGCTTCTCCGCCGCCCCTGGAACCGGGCCTATGTCGGACCTGCGAGACTTCTAGCAGCGGCGCCCGGAGGATTGGAAACGAAGCTCATCGGGACCGATATTTTACAGCCTCAAGTACTCGGCGCCTGCACCGACTTATGGCGACTATGCACTGTAGCCGAAATCGCTGAACTGTACCCCTACCTCCGTAACGTCGGCCTACTCAAAACCCCTCGCACTCGTGTGTGGCACGCAAACTCTACCGACAGCCAAGACCGCGAAAGTCCTGGACTCCTCCTTTGCTGCAGACAAGAAACTGCCGCTGCCACTGCCGCCACCACAACACCACAGCCGTGCGTCAACTGAACTAATTATGCAACCACCCACCACAACACCACGACAACACCCTCCCCCCCGGGAAGACGTTGTAGACCC